TTGTCATAAGCCTGATGAAGGAAAGGAGGTGATCAAGAATGAGACAATCGCCACGGCAGGGTCCCTTTCAGCAAACAGCACCGCAGTGTGTCAACCCCATGGCATTAGCGTAATGGGAATACTGAAGAAGAGCCGGAAGGTGGTGTGGCTTGCGGGACAGGTGAACAAGCGAAAGGAAAAGGAGACCATAAAGAATGAACAAGAGAAGAGCGAGCGAGGTTCTTAAAGAGACGACGTCATCGATGGGCAGGTAGGAGGAGGAGAAGAGCAGAAGGCGCAAACAAGCAATAAAGCGAAGGGGCAAGAGCACCAGCGAAAGCAATGAAGATAAGGAGACGACGAAGAAAAGACGCATGATGATAATCAAGAAAGCGATAGCCGCGCCGAAGATGATTTATGCTGAGATCATCGCTGGAGCCTATGAAAAGCCTCCCCCCCCGATCCCGACAATGAATGTTTTAACAACACTTTTTTGCTTATCACGTGATTTCACTATCGAAAACTATCTTAATTTTTTTAACCATTTAAAGCAATTATTAATGAATGTTCGAAGTATTTTGTATCGCTCTACGCATTCCATCTTCCTTTAAACTCCATGACGTCTTTCACCGTCGTTGTCTGTATTTTTTTAACAATAGTATGAAATTGGGCTACACCCCGCGTCAGGTTGGCCGAAACGCGGCCAATTTTGAACGCTGGATATTGCTGTTTTGATATGTCAGAGTTTTGATTGATAGAAAAACGGGATTAATGTAAACGCGCTGGGATTCCTAATCGATTATGTGGTCAGCATACGACGAGGTGGGCTTGAGACTAAGCCATATTAAGACGACCACCCATGTCCATACTAATTGCTAGTACAGCGTACGGTAATTATAGTACCGTTCACATATAATATTGTATGAGAACGCGGCTGTGGACCCCACACTGCCCCCGGAAAAACGTATCATCTTCCTTTGTATTTGCGCGCGTAGTGTGCGACCTTAGATATTATGTGAACTTTCCAACAATATACGCTGTGTACATCAAACAAAATGGGAACAGCTATTGTGATTCAGCTAGCGCGGAGGTACATGTCTAAGCAAGGACACGAAACACGAAGGGATACCGACCTACACTATGTACTCGATGGGATAGAAGAGCAACACGAAGCACGGAAGGCCATGGACGATGATAGAAGACTTAGCCGATGCATACCACGATGTTTTATAAGTTGCGTGTATGATGATAGAGCTCGCAGCCATGATAATGACAGATGGACAGAACATGACAGATCGTACGGTCCATGTATGGGTACTTATTAGATTGACTCTCCAGCTTGCTGTATTGTACGGCTACGGATAGCGCACGCACGTTTCGAAGCTCGTAGCGGTAAGAGTGCCCTGTCAGCATCTCTCCCTTAGTATCACGATAGATATCGGTGCACGGTACGACGATCCAGGCATGTAGCCGCGGGTGTCCATATATGGATATCATCGAGCATTTA